ATCTCTCTCTTCGCCCTTCAGCCTCTGCAGCTTCACGAAACTCTCAGAGGAGACCAGGCTTTTTATTCATTTATTATTAAACTTCTATGTCACCCATCTCTCTCCAAGGTGACTCTAGGCAATTTACGGTAAAATTCAATAAAATGCCACATAGAACATTTAAAACAATAAATTGAATGACCAGATTCCCCCACCAGATCACTTTGCCATTGCTCTGACAAGAAGATCATATCCGGTGTGTGACCGTTGTCCTGAGTCAGGCCCAAGATGGACCTAAGATCAGGCAATCCATCATATCTGTCTGTCTCTCTGTCTGTCATCTATTTATCTATCAAATATTAAACTTCTATGCCACCATCTTGTCAAGGTGACTCTAGACAGCTTACAATAAAATTCAATAAAAGGCTATGTAGAATATTTCAAACAATAAAAACCAGATCCCCCCACCAGATCACATTGCCGTTGTTCTGACAAGATCATATCCGGTGTGTCACCGCTGTCCTGAGTCAGGCCCAGGACGGTCTGGGAGAGGCCCATGGCAGCCATGAACTCCTGGGCCCCTTCCGAGGCCAAACCCAGGGAGGGCAGATTGATGTCTCCCAGGACCAGAAGCCTGGGGAACTCCCTGCCAACACTAAGATGGCCTCCAGCGGCTGAGGGAGGGGGGGTGGGGGTGGCCATGCATCAGGGAGGCTGGTACAGCAGCCACAAGCCAAACTGAACCTGTCAGCCCAGATTCAGAAACGGGGAGTCACAACCAGAAACGTGGGGATCAAGGCCCCCGAGGGCCCAGAGGGATTCTCAGAGGACCACTGCCCCCCCCACCTGCCCTGCCCTGGGGTCTCGGTTGGGGCCAAAGCCTAAACCCTAATCTATGAGAGGGGAAACCCATCCCACTTCCAGAGTCAGCCAGGTCTCAGCTATGCCAGCAAGAGAGTCTCTAACCACTGGGGATGATGGTATCACCGGTGATTCCCCCATTTCCCACCAAGGAATTGAGGGCTCTCTCTCCTCCAAAGGGGGCCAGGCTCCACCAGGCAGACTCTGGGCTGCCTCCCCTGCCTGAATCCAACAGGGAGAGTTTCCCTTCTCCGCCTCAGGAACAAACCAGTGCAAGGAAAATGGATTTTGTGACCCCTCCCAGCCGACTTTCATGCCTACGGTGGGACTAGAACTCACCGTCTCCCAGTATGTCTCATTTGGTGCCCTCACCACTAAACCAAACTGACTCTATTTTCATTATTTCAGCAGACCCAGACCCAGAGGGAACAAAGGGAGGGTGAACTAATGGGGGGAGGAGGGGGGCCCTTTTAAAAACTGGGGGCCTCTCCCTCTTTTCCTTCCCCCCCCCCCGCCCAAAATCTGGCAAAGGGACAGAATGGCTGAAGCAGCAGCAGCAGCTTCCCTCCGACTCACCCTGGCTGGAACTGTTGGATCCTTCCTCACTTGCTGGAAAAGAAAGAAAGAAAAAGAAAGTGAGGAAGTCACTCTGTTGGCTGATAGATGGAGAAACTCAGCTCTTTCTGACTCCTCCCTCCCTCCCTCTCTCGCACACACACACAATCAAAAACACACAAATACGTGGAGAGAGTTTGAACCAGACTGCTTGGGCTAAAAGGCACAGGAAAGAATTACTAAAATTTATTTGTATATCAACACAGAGCAATAGTTCAGCAATTCTTGAGCCCGAGGGCAGAGCTGACCTAAAAAGATACACTTGGCTCCAAAGTCTCTTTTTATAATTACTTCATACATAGAGAGCCTTGTGATGGGAGACCAAGAGGAGATCCATCTGGTATCCCCCAAAGCTCCTTTTCCTGAAGGCAGGACAGGAAGCAACGGGTGGAAACTAATCAAAGAGAGAAGCAATCTAGAACTAAGGAGAAACTTCCTGACAGTTAGAACAATTAACCAGTGGAACAACCTGCCTCCAGAAGCGGTGAATGCTCCAACACTGGAAGTTTTTAAGAAGAAACTGGACAGCCATTTGTCCGAAATGGTATAGGGTTTCCTGCCTGAGCAGGAGGTTGGACTAGATGACCTCCAAGGTCTCTTCCTACTACTACTACTACTACTACTACTACTACTACTACTACTACTACTTATTATTATTATTATTATTATTATTATTATTATTATTATTATTATTATTATTATTATTATTATTATTATTATTACTTTATGGAGCTTCTGACTCTCATTTCACCAAACCTTTCCTTTCTGCCCACTTGGGAAACAGAGCAGCTTCTCAGCCAGAGGGATCTTCCACCAGCTGGGTCTTCTCACCTTCTGGAAGGTTCCTTATCCCAAAGGTTTCTCTTTGAGGAACCCCTTTCCAAGAACAGCCTGGCTGGGATGTAAAGGGGGCCCATCTTCCCCAGACTGGTTCTTAGGAGGAAGAGAGCATGGAGGTGGGCGCACACACACACAAACACACACACAGAGACACATCAACTGATCATGCCTCTGGTCTCTGCTCTAAGTTGGAGATTACATGTAAAAAGGACTCACTTGCTGCTTTTTTGTAGTCATGACGTCTCTCTGCAAAAACAAAAATCAGTGAAAGCTCAAAAGAATCCACCAGAGATCATCCAATCTCTCCCTCTCTGGGAGGAATACCTTCAGCAGACATTTCACAGTCATTTTGTCTCATAAATAAAGACAGAAAGATTTTCAAAAACCAAATGTATCTCCTGATTTTCCCCAAGGGAGACCTGCTGCCTCCGAGATGGAGGGAGGGAAAGGGGGGAAGCAGCAGCAGCAGCTGGGAGGGGAGGAAGGTTTTCATGGAAATCCTTCTCTGCTGCTTTTTGACCAAAGACTTTGAAAGGGACGGAACTGGGATGCTTCTTCCCAAGACAGAAGAACACGGGACTGTCCCAACCTCAGACTCAGCCAGGTGAAGACTGGAGTCCCTGCAAGAGGCCGAGATCTCAGAGGCTCCCCAAGAGGGCTGGGAAAACAGGACAGAAGGAAGCCCTGAAGAAGCTCCCCAAAGAGAGAGACTTGGGAGGAACCTCCCCATCTTCCTTCCATCACCCAGAAAAGGATACTTACTGAAAAACCAGATCCCAACAACAATCACACACAGCAGGACAAGACCAGCCACAACGCCGATGATGATCCCCACGTTGGATTTTGGTTCTGAATTGGGAGAAAAAGCAGATAATTGAAGGAGATCCCCAATCATCCCAATTGGGGAAGAGACCTAAAATAGCGAAAGCTGAAAATTCTCAAAATTAAAAACTTCTGTGGGTTCCTCTTCATGTCCCTCTAAGGGTAGCACGAAGGCTCCTTGCTAACCACTGTTAGAGGATGTGTCCTCCTGATGCTGCCTCCTTCTCTCCCCAGCCCAGCATGAAGGCAGCTGAATTCATCTTTAGCTTTTCCACTCCAAAGCAGCCCTTTGCCATCTTGTGACTCTCAGCAGCTTACAAAACAAAAACTTCACCAACACAATATTGGTGAACAATACAATAACATTTGTTAAACAACGGTTTTTGTTCTGTTTAGAGGCTGCCCCAGTTTGTCATAATTTAGGCGGCTCTGTACGTTACGTTTTTTCTTCAGTTTGAGTGTTTGCATTTTATTATTTAAAGTAAAAGAGTTTATATCACCCAGCCTTTTTTAAAATATACACTTTCATTTCCTTGGCCAGTCCAGAAATAGCAGAAAATTATATTTTGTGCTTCCAGAACTTCAGCATGAAAAATGGAATAGGGAGACATCCGACTTCTGGACGGTCCCACTAATGGCAGAAACAGAAGAACATATTTTGAAGGGACCTTGGAGGTCTTCTGGCACAACCCCCTGCTCAAGCCTTCCAGACAAGTGGCTGTCCAGTCTCTTCTTAGATGCCTCCAGTGATGGAGCACCCACAACTTCTGAAGGCAAATTGTTCCACTGGTTAATTGTTCTCAATGTTAGGAAGTTTCTCCTTAGTTCCAGGTTGCTTCTCTCCTTGATTAGTTTCCATCCATCGTTTCTTGCCCTGCCCTCTGGTGCTTTGGAAATCACGTTGACCCCCCTCCTATTTGTGGTAGCCTCTCAAATACTGGAATACTGCTATTATGTCTCTCCCCCTCCTAGTCCTTTTTTTCTCTAGACTGGCCAAACCCAAAACCTGCAACTGTTCTTCATATGTTTTACTCTCCAGGCCTTTAACCATCTTAGTTACTCTTCTTTGCACTTTTCCCCAAAGTCTCAACTTCTTTTTTGTAATGTGGTGACCAAAACTGCCTCCAAGTTGCACTTTGTTATGAGTGCTCCAGTGGTTTATTGTTCTCACTGTCAGGAAATTTCTCCTTAGTTCCAGTTTGCTTCTCTCCTTGTTTAGTTTCCATCCATTGCTTCTTGTCCTGCCCTCAGGTGCTTTGGAAAATAGCCTGACTCCCTCTTTTATGGGGCAGCCACTGAGATAATGGGGAGACTGCTATCATGTCACCCCTAGTCCTTCTTTTCATTAGACTAGATATACCCAGTTTCTGCAATTGTTCTTCATATGTTTTAGCCTCCTTTGTTGCTTTTGTTCATATGTTGTCCTTTGTTGCTTTGTTCATATGTTTTTAGCCTCCTTTGTTGCTTTTCTCTGCACTCTTTCTAGAGTCTCAACATCTTTTTTATATCGTGGCGACCAAAACTGGATGCAATATTCAAAGTAAGGTCTTACCAAAGCATTATAAAGTGGTATTGCTTTGGGAGTCAGTTCTGAGGAGGGGAACTTTAAATTTAATTTTCTCTTGCACAAAACTCAGGACTCCTACTGAATAGCGATCATGCCATTTGTGAATTGATGCTTGCTAAAAACAACAAACACAAATATTTTATTTTGCTTGGGATATCAGCATAAAAATTAAATTTGAACGTTTTTTTTTCTATTGTGATGACAATCATTAATAAAAGATTTAAACTTGAATTCTGCAATTTTGGAAATCCAGTGTAAAAAATGTTAGGGGCAGTTATGAGCATATGCAGAGTTCTTAGAGGGCTTTTTTTCTTAGGTTTTATGCTGAGCCTCAGGAATTCCCATATCTTATCATAAAATAATGTGCAACTTCTTTCTTAGAGCAGCAACACACAAAGACATTTCGTTCTTTACAGCAGGAAAAGTCTCTGATGGTAAAAACTCAGATTGATAGTCTCTTTTCTGACTCCTGATGCATCAATCCAGATACTCTGTGCATTTCCTGAAGTCAGCTGCAGTTCATCGATTTTAATTAAATTTGGCCTTTAAAAAGGGACACAGACTCTCCTCCTGACTTTTGTACTTCAGGAATTCTAAAAAAAAATAATTCATTTTTGGGTGTTCAGTATAACTGCTTCTCCATGGCTGGAGGCAATAAAGAGGGGAGGGACAGAGGCTAACAGAGGATCTAAGAGGATTTCATCAGGATCTGCCAGCTCTTTTGATGGGATTCTGGAGTTTCCTTTACATCCCCTGAAGCCACTTCTATGGTCTGGTCCCTGCAGCTTCACCAACCTCAAACACTGGAAAAACCAATGGCCTAAAGGTCAGGTATGCTCACATCTGGACACAGCTGGGGTGAGATTTCCCTCCCACAACCCTCCAGCCTGCCAAAGAGCCCAGCCTTTCCCTCCCTGCAGCCTCTCACCCTCCAGGGCCACGTCCAGAGGCTCCTCCAGGCCGTCGTGCTCCACATGGCACCGATAGCGGCTCCTGTCTTTGGGATCAATCTGGATGCTGAGCCAGCGGTGATAGGTCCCATCAGCATTTGGGGCCACGGAGCCACGGAGGGTGTCCTGCAGCCAGACCTCCCCGTCCCTCGTCCAGGAGGCATCGATCTCCCTGGGGTAGAAGCCATCCACGCGACAGACGTGCGTCTCCATCCCATCCTCCACCTCCGTCTTGCTGCTCATGGTCACCTCTGGGGNCTGGGGGGTCTGCAGAAACGGCACCCCTGGAATTAACTCTGAGCCCCTCCAGAGCCTGGAAGGTGGGGGGAAACTCAGAGGGGCAGGAAAGCCTCCCACTACTTCCCACTCCACACCTGTAGCGTCTCCAAGAGTTTTAGGAAATGCTCCAGATCTGGAAAAAGCTCAACCACAAGAACTCCTGATTCTGAGTCCTTCCTAGGGACTCAGCCTGAAAAACCTCCAGCAACAAATTGAGGGTCCAAGGAAATTCCTCTCTGGCTGCTTTGAACTCTGAGTGATCGTGGATTGTTTCCTTCAGGGGAGGGAAAGTGGAGCTGCTCTTTTAAGTTCCCTTTCAAGACAACAACAACACAGAGGTTTCTCTCTACTTTTATGGTTTCCTTCTGCTCCCCTGAATCTAAGGCTGCTCCAGGCCTCTTTCCAAGGGACACAACCACAGTTTCAAGAAGAGGAGAGGCAGAATCAAAGTAAAAAGGGGCTCTGGGCTTTTCCAATTTCTGACTGATTAATTTGGAGAAGAAATATTATCCCTCAAAGGGGGGGAGAGAGGTGAGGCCAATGGAAGAGAGAGAGAGAGAGACAGAGAGAGACAGACAGAGAGAGAGAGAAAGAGAGAGAGAGAGAGACAGACAGAGAGAGAGAGAGAAAGAGAGAGAGACAGAGAGAGAGAGAGAGAGAGAGAAAGAGAGAGAGAGAGAAAGAGAGAGAGAGAGAGAGTCCTCCCAGGGCAGGGAGGGGCTGCTGGCAATTGTGTGGGGGGGCTTCCCCTGTGGACCCTGATCTCACTCAGCTTATACCAGAGGGGGGGTCAAGGACCCCAGAGGGGGTCGACCCAGTGGGGAGACGTTGTTTAGATGGGAAAATAAGAACAAACCACAGGAAAAGATTATACTGTGAAGCCTCCTGTGGGGTGAGGGGGTGTTCTTCAAGGTGGGGAGGGGGCTGTTTTGAGGAAAGACTCACTAGGTCAGAATTGAGGGAACCTGTTTGGGGTTTAACAGAAAAATCCACAGAAATTTTGGGAAGAAAAGAACCCCTCAACCTTGGCCTGAGGATGTCTTATTAATGGTAGACGTGGAGCCACCTAGTAGTGGTGGTGGGAGGTGCACCATCAGGTGCAAGGCAGGGAAGGAGCCCTTTGTGGGATGTGGGGGGAAGGAGAATTAATGGGGGGAAATTAAAGGCACCCCACACTTGACTACAGTTTGGCTAATGGGGATTTCACCGAAGAAACCCAAATGCCTTTGTTTCATTGCCTCACTGTGGGCAATGAAAAGGACACCCCCAAGTGCTTCTCCTGTCTGATCCACCCAGACACCCGCCAGGCAGAGGCTGCGTTTCCTGGTCCATCGAATGGCGGCCTGGCAAGGGGAACCAATCAGGGCTTTCCTTGTCTTGGAGAGGGGCTGGAAGGGGAGGGGGAGGATTCCCTCCTGGGCAGTCAGACTGCAGACCAGGAACCCAAAGGGGCCGAATGTGGACAAGAAATCCGGCCATAAAGGAGGAAAGTCCAGCCTGGATCCAGAGGCTCACCTGTCCTCAGCAGCATCTCCTTCCCGTAGGACAGGTACTTCTGCAGCGACTCAACGCATTCCTTCTCCAGGTAGGACTGATACATTTGATTATGTCCTGGAATAGCATCCCATTTCCTCTGGGTGATCTGGGCCTGGGGTTGGGGAGCCACCCAGGTGAGTCTCTCCTTGTCAAACGTGAGGAAGGTCCTCCCATCGTAGCCAAACTGATCAAATCCTCCTTTTTTCCCATCAGCCTGGAGCTCACAGCCATACATCTCCTGTATTATGTGAAGGCCTGAAATAGGAACAAGATGATGGTTTGGGGAGTCCTGGAGATAGACAGAGGCCCCCTTCCCTGCAGGCACTTTGACACAGGCACTGACACCCCCATTTCCTCCCTAGCAGTCAAGGGAAAGAAAGACTCCATCACTAACCGCCCTTCTCCCCTCCCTCGACCTCCCTCCCTCCATTTCCCCCCCCCCCCCAGGATGGAGCCCCTGAACCTCCCCAGGAAAAGGGAAGCTGGAAAAGCCAGTGGAGGATCCCGAGGGAGACCGAGAAAAGAAGGAGTCCCAGAAGAAACGGAGGGATGGAGCCTCTCCCTTCTTTCCTTCTGCAGTTCCTCTGTTGGGGAGACTCTTGGGGGGAAAGGAAGGGATCCCAGAGAAGGAACATTTGCCAGAATCTGCAGCTGCAAAGAGGGGCTGAGAACCTCATGGCCTCAGAGAGAATCTGGTCGATCTGCAAACAAGCTTGCAAGGATCCCTGTGACCATAAATCTTGATCTATGTTCCCAAATATCACCAAGTCACAAGGCTGGCTCCCTTTTTGGGCTAACCAGAAACAAACCATGGCTTTGTACACTGTGGGAATGAAGCCTTGAAGGGCCACAAAGGAATATTTTCCTTAGCAAGAGCAGCAAGTGGCCCAATCTGATCTGCACCCCCAAAGGATTATTGACCTTTGAAATGAAGTTTAAAGTTTACAGTCTTTGCAAGGTCCTGGAGAAAATATTTTCACTTTAACTGACCAGATTCTGGGATTTAAAAGAAAACTGAATGTGTGAAAAAACCAAAAGGAAATGTTGAAATATTTCTACTTCTGGTTGGGCTTCAAAATGAGGAAGGACGCCAGAAACTCTCAAATCTGAGGGAAAACCACTTGTAAGTACAGTTGAACTGAACTGACCAGTCCTTTCCCTCCCTTTCCACTCCCATGAGTGACCGGGTGAGGGGATCCTTTCTCTGCAGCTTCTGCTCAGCCTGAGACCTTCCCTTTGGAGGGAGAGGAAGATCCTCCTGAGCTGAGTCTGATCCTGCCCTGCAGAGGAGATTCCCTGATCTGCTCAGGGGGGAAAAAAGCTTCTGGATTTCTGCCCAAGAAGAGTCTCCTGCCATTCACAGGAAGGCACTGAAAATCTGGCTGCAGTTTTCAACTTCTGAGAACCAGCTCTGTCTTACTTCAGAAGCATCAAAAGCTAAGACAGAAACCGTCTTATTTCAGTTGAAGATGAAATCTATTTGTGTTCATTGCAAGTTTGGGAGAGAATTTAATATTTGTGCTAAAAAAAAAGCACAGGGATCACAGTGAAAAGGCAAGTTTTTATTCTTAATGTAAGAAGGCTGTTAATGCATCTCTACAGGTCTACGCAGGAAACAATTCTGCCCCATCTCTGAGGCTGGATGTTCAGGGGTTCCCCGAGGCCTGAAAAATAGTTCAAGGGTTCCTCCAGGGTCAAAAGGTTAAGAAAGGCTGCTTTAGGGAGGCTAAATATATATTTATATTTGTAACTTCTGTGAAGAATATCAGAAGCCACTTCTTTATGTCTTTTTTCTTTGTTTTCTTCAACTTGTTTTCTTTTCTTATATAGTTTTTGATTTTTCTTTGATTTCTTTCTTTTATCTCTTTACTTTATGTTACTTTCTATTAGTTTTTATCTTTTGTTGAAAAGGTTCAATACAACTTATATAAAAAAATTCAAAAGGCAAACAGGATATCAGAGATCATTAAAATGGTACTGAAAACACAGGGGCTAATGTCACAAAACCTTTACATAAATCAAGGGTGTGACCACATCTGGAATATCGGGTGCAGTTCTGGTCACCAGACCTCAAAAAGGGCAGGAGGGAGCTGGGGAAGGTCCAGAGGAGGCGACCCAGAGGACGGGAGGGTTGAAGCAGCCTCCCTTGGAGGAAAAGGTTGGGACATTTGGGGCTGTTTGGCCTGGAAAGGAGGCTCCCCTCCACTCTGGCCGGTCTCCTTCCTCCTTTCTCCACCAGGGGGAGCCCTCTGGGTCCAGCTCTGCTCCTGAGAGGCCAGCAGGGGGCCTGGAGGGATCTGGGGGATCAGGGGCAGAACAGGCAGATCTCTGGGGTGTCTGCCTGGGGGGGATGGGCAAGGAAAGGGCAGAAGAAGGGGGGGCTGCATCTCCTTGGGATGAAAGGAGGGAAAATGGCTGATGTTTGTGGAGAAAGTTTACCTCAGCCCAAAGCAGCCTCTGGTGACCCAGATATTTGCTTGCAATCTCTCCCCTAAATCAGGTTCTTTGGAGGTGAATCTTGTGCCCCAAAGATGGCAGAAGGGGGGGGCTGCTGAAGAAGGCCTCCCCCCTCCAGGGCAGCCCCACCAAGAGGGCAGCGCAGGAGTCAAGCCGGAGGGACCAAGGATGGGAAGCCATCAGCGCTCTGAGCGACTCAGGAAGGGCCCCAAATGGGGGTTTCTTTCTTTTCTGTCCTTTTCCCCCTCAAGATTGGGTGGATCTTGGAAGTGATCTTGTGCCCCCCCCAAGAGCCCCCCAACCCCATTTGGCCTCCTGGCCTCTCCTTCCACCTGGAGGATGAGAAGAAGGTCCTGCCATTTGGGGCCCCACTCATCCCTCCAAAAAGAGGTGAAAGAGAGAGATCTAGTCAGCCCAGGTAGATTTGCAGTTGATCCCTCATTTCTCTGGTGTGGAAACAGACAGAAAAACAAGGACCTGCTTCCCCCAGGATCTCCTTAGGATCCACCTGCTTCTTTTCTGGGAGGGGGGGAGACCTGGGATCCCCTCCCTCCCCCACACCAGGCGGTCCATCAAGGCCACGACCCTCTGACTTTCATGGGGGGGAGGGGAGATTTCGGTCTCTTTGAACCTCGGTTTATATCCATATCCACATCCTGTCAATAGACAGGGAGATAGAGGGATAACTTTTAAAAAATGTTTTTATTAACTGCAATTGGCAGAAAACATCAGCTATGGAGGCAACGACAAGCTTATACTGATTTTAAAAAAAGAATAAACA